GCTCCCAGCCCTTTTATGACAGTGTGTCACTGTGTAGGCCAGTCTAAATCTAGTCATGATCCTCTTGTCTCAGACTCCTAAGTGCTGGGATTACAGGTGTGAACCATCATACCTGGCTAGTTTTTAAGTGGTATGTAAAAACATAAAAGCTATACATATGTATGGGGTATTATGGGATGGTTTGATATTTAATGCTTAAATAAATCATTCATCATTTTTAAATATTTATCTTTATTTGAAATTAAATTAATTTCTTCTAGCTTTTTGAAACATACAGCAAATTCTAGCAACCCAGTCATTAAACCCTACTTTGCAATAACACAATAAAAATTCTATCTAACCCTAACCCAATACACACTGATCAAACTCTCACCAACTCTTTATCCTTGTGGGCTAACGCTGTCTTTAAAACCTCTTTCTTCTGGTCTCCTGGGGTTTCAGGAGAAAATAATGTGTGTATTCAGATACCACCATTACCTGTAGGCCATTTTCTCATAAATTAGAAGAGATATAGAAGATAATTTAGATGGCTGATATTTAAAAGCTGATGGTTCCCTGTAGTGAAGAAAGCATTTAAGATCATTCTGCTGATCGTACACAAATTTAGGCCCACTTCTAAAAACTTGCCAGCATTGCAACATCCTAGCATTTGAAAGACTCACTATGACTTCCCTTGGGGGTGTGGGGAACAGTCTGTGAATGTTGCATTTTCTCTATCTTTACCTTTTCTACACTACCATCAAAGGCAGCACTGAATGGGGGAGGCTCCCTGGCATTTCTCCCAGGAGTTTTCACATGGTCTATACAGATCTTGAGTCAGGTTATTGCACAGGCTGGAGTGAGCAGGAAGAAGAGTCATTCCTCTTGCTATTTTTTCTTTCCAGAATGCAGCAACAAAGCCCTAGAGTTGACTGAAAAGATAAAGGCCCCTTAAATACAAAATACAAGGGAAGTTTTCAGTACCACCAAGTGAACAAAATGCTTATAAGAACAAACTCTTCTACCCAGACATTTCCTTGGTCATTTTATAGACATAAATAAGCCTGAACTTTGATCAAGTCTGAAGTTTGACCTAATTTGTACTGTAGCTTTATTACTATATATTGGCTAATTTCTGACTTGAAACTTTAACAGCCCGAACAACAACAAAGTATCAGGCAGGTTTACAGGGTGAAAATCAAAGCCATTATTTCAAATAAATTTATCTTTAATGAAAAGTAAGCCTTGAAAAATAGTTCAATGCTGGCCTGTAATCCTAGCTACTCAGGAGGCTGAGATCTGAGTTTAGTTCCACGGATATATTGCTGGTTTTCTGCAAATTCTTTCTGCATTAGACTGTGTGAACTGAACTAAGAAGAACAAACTTTCATATTTTCAGTAAATCATTTCATTTATATAAGAAGCATAAATCCTACTGCTCAAAGAGACGACCATTCTTTTTAAAACTTTTATTTTTTCAGGTCCTGGGGCTTGAACTGTGGCCTGGGCGCTGCCTCTGAGCCCTTTTTTTTTGGCCAGTCCTAGAGCTTCAACTCAGGGCCTGGGCACTGTCCTTGAGCCTCTCTTTGCTCAAGGCTAGTGCTCTACCACTTGAGCTACAGTACCACTTCTGGCTTTTTCTGTTTATGTGGTACTGAGGAATCGAGCCCAGGGCTTCATGCATGCTAGGCAAGCACTCTACCACTAAGCCACATTCCCAGCTCCCCTCTTCCCCCTGAGCCTCTTTGTGCTCAAGGCTAGCACTCTACCATAAAGCCATTTCTGCCTTTTTCTCAGTATTTTATTGAGTCTCATGATCTTTCCCGCCCAGGCTGGATTCGAACCACAATCCTCAGATCTCAACCTCCTGAAAAGCTAGGATTTCAGGTGTGAGCCACCAGCACTCAGCTAGAAGACTGTTCTTTAAATATTAAGACCTTCCCAAATAATGAATGTGAAGTACACTAATTAAACAAGGCAATATAATGCCCATTCAGCTTTTCTCTGAAGTCAAGAATTCTGAATTCAATTTTCACACTTGCAAAAATCAATACTACTCACATGACCAAAGTTTAATGGTCACTCACTTCTTGTTTAACCTAGAGCAAGTCACATTTTTCCATGTGCATGTGTAAACACATACAGATTTTCTTTAAAATATTTGCAAATGTAACGTCATTGATTTGTTAGGGCAAATGCTTTGCATTATATGAGTTGTTACTATGCCAGGACAAAAACTGTATCACACACATAAAAACAACATATAAAAGTAAATAGAACTAGGTGCCAGTGGCTCCAGCCTGTAATCTTAACTATTCAGAAGGATGAGATCTGAGGATTGTTGTTGGAAGCTAGCTGGTTGGAAAGTCTGTAAAACCCTTATCTCCCAATTAACCACTAAAAAGAGAGGTGAAGTTGTATCTCAAGTGGTCGTGCTAACCTTGAGCACAAAAGCTCAGTGACAGCATCCAGCCCCTGAGTTCAAGCTCCAGGACCAGCATAAATAAATAAGTAATAAATACTAGTACACATTGAGACAGAAAAAAAAACAGAACTTACTGAGTTCTGGGGCTAGGAATGTGGCTTAGTAGTAGAGTGCTTGCCTAGCATGCACGAAGCCCTGGGTTCTATTCCTCAGTACCACATAAACAGAAAAAGCCAGAAGTGGCGCTGAGACTCAAGTGGTAGTGCGCTAGCCTTGAGCAAAAAGAATCTCAGGGACAGTGCCTAGGCCCTGAGTTCAAGCCCCAGGACTGGGAAAACTTACTGAGTTTAGGAATAAAGGAGGAAAGATACAAAATAGCACTTTGAAAAGTATAGATTTGGAGAAATTCAAGATATTAAAACGTGTAATTTTAGTGGGGCAGTGATGGCTCATGCCTATTCTTCCTGAGACTCTAAGATTCTCAGGAAGCTGAGATCTGAGAACTGTGTGTTGCAGTTGAGCCAGCCTAGACAGACAAATCAAACCCCTTTTCTCCAATTAACCAGCAAGAAGCCAAAAGAAATGGTTCAAGTGGTCGGACATCAGCCATGAGTGAAAAAGCTGTTAAGTTAAAGGACCTGCACTCAAGAGACTAGTACAAAAGATCTCAAAAAAAAAAAAAAAAAAAAAAAAAGATCTCACACACTGAGCTATACCGCAAATATGCTATTTTTTTATTTGGTCACAGGACTTGAACTCAGGGCCAGGGCTCTGTCCTTGAGCAATTTTGTTCAAGGCTAGCACTCTACCACTTTGAGCCACAGCACCATTTCCAGTTTTCTGGTGGTTAATTGGAGAAGTTTCACAGATTTTCAACTATGGCTGGCTTCAAACTGCAATCCTCAGATCTCAACCTCCTGAGTAGGTAGTACTACAGGCATGAGCCACCAGCACCCAGCCCTATTTTATATTCTCTCTAGTTTAGGATCCAAGTACAGTAAGCAAAATGTATTAAATATTAAAAAAGGAAGCACTGAACACAAGCAACCACAAAAGACAAGCATAGATACCTTTGAGCAATAGTCTGTAAATAAAAAAAAATAGTTCAAAGACAACTCAGCAATTCCAGTTATGAAGTTCCAGATCAGACACTACTTGGGGACTCCGTGATACAACTCCGCTACCCTACCAGCCCATGGAAAAGTATTTTCAATCAACATTTCAACATTGACAGAAGTGTTAGCAATGGAAAATAATACCTTACAGGTAGGAGGCACTTAAGTACCTATTGACTAATAATCTCCAAATTATGCTAGGTCATGTCTGTAATCTTCTGCAAATGAAGCAATCTCAATGAAGAATCGCATGGGATTTCACTCCCTAGGTGACACTTCAGGAAGCCCAGTCAAATGGAGAAAACCTAAAATAATTAAGTGTACTCATAATTTACAAACAGCTTGAAATACTTGAAGAATCTGTAGTAACACAAAAGGAACTTTACTTAGGGAAAAATTTTGCTGCAGCTCGTAGATCTGGTAACAATCCGAGACTTGTTTCTGCTACTTGGGCTCTATTAAAATATTTAACATGAGAGCTACACACTGGTGGCTCACGCTTGTAATCCTATTTAGGAGGCTGAGATCTGAGGATTGCAGTTAGAAGTCCGCCTGAAAGTCCATGAGACTATCTCATCTCCAATTAACCACCAAAAAGGGCAGGTGTGCAGCTGGGGGTAAAGTGGGAGAGAGCTTGTCTTGAGCACAAAAGCTCAGGCACAGTGCCCAGTCCTTAGGCTCAAGCTCTAGGAGCAGCACACATACAAGAAAGTACTTAACATTAACATGTACATGTCTATTCATGCATTGTTATCTTCCTAGCTGCTATCAATTCTCAAGGGCCACGGATTGGGGATTAAACTGATGATACCATAATACAAGGGCTTATAGTCTCTAAATAGGACTGAAATTTGGAAATTCTGTTTTCTTTTCACATGCTGGGTCTAGGCCATCCTTCTTGGCTGGCTGACAAGTGAAAAGAGGCTCCTGCTGGTGCCACTCACCCTGGGAATACAGAGTTCCATGAACTGTGCATTCAAGAGCCACAAAGGAGGATATAAACCACACACAACAGAGCCAACGCACACAGCTACATCTCCATTCATCTATAGACACTACTTCATTATGACTCTCTCACTGCCATTCAAGAACCGGAAGATCCCTAAAAACTGGGAGGTGACAGCCACACAAAGGTCACCATTACTGTTTTCTTTTGTATGCTTCTAATTAGTGCAGGAAAACTGCTAGTTACAAGTCTTGTTCCTTCTGCTGGTTTGCAAAACATCCAAAGCTCCTTCTCCTCTACTGTCTTCTGGGTTTGGGAACTCAGCCTCTGCAGACTACAACAGCTGATTATTGCCCTAAGAGGACTTAACAGTTGTCTAACAGCACATGTACACTGTGCACCCCCACATGCACTCACACAGAAACATGCCACACACACTAATCACTCATACATACACATACCACATCATGCACATGAGCACCAGAGACGCTGGACCTGTCCCCTGAAAATATCAATAAAGAGAACAGGACGATTATTTTTAAATTTAGGTTTTAATTATGTACATAAATAGCAACTTGAGAACAAGGAGTTCTAAGGCTTGTACATTATTGTCTCTAAGTGAAAAGATTCAGATTAGCCCACTTGTATGGCATCAACCAAGATAACAAAGAAGGCCTGGTATAGATTTTCCTGAAGAAGAAAGCCAGTTTACTACATTCAATACTGACTTCTCTGCCACTTTTCTGTAGAAATACTGATTTGCTGTCTGGAGTTTCCAATGTTTACCTATACCTAAAAGAAAGAAAAGAAAAACATGAAGTAAATGGAACCAGAAGTAATAAAAATATAAGTAAATTTTTGTATTTTGATAACGTCTTAAGTTTAAGTAAAGAAAACCATATAAAATATTAACATTACTGTTACGTGATGAGAGGATCATGAGCCAGAGAAAACTGTAATGTTCCCAATTTCTTAAATGGTTAAATTAGTCTTCAGCAAGGCTTTGTGCTCCAGCAGTACTATTAGACTCTCACCTGGCTGAGTATCCAAGCACAATTAAATAGCGAATACAAAGCAATTGTCTAAATGGCATAGCACACCACCGCCCCCACCCCAGGACCAAACAACTATTTCCACGGATTCAAAAAACACAGAAATTCAAACACACATGAAAGGTAAACTGAGTCTCCTCTAGATTGCTTGCTTGCTTCTTTCTTTCTTTCTTCCTTCCTTTCTCCTTTCCTCCCTTTCTTCCTTTCTATGTCAGTGCTAAGGCTTGAACTCAGAGCTTTGCCCTCTTGCTTAGTTTTTTCACTCAAGGCTAGTGTTCTATCACTTGTGCCACACCTCCACCTCCTGGTTTTTAATAGGTTAACTGGAGATGAGTCTCACAGGTTTGTCTACTAAGACTAGCTTTAAACCTCAATTGTCAGGGACTGGGAATGTGGCCTAGTGATAGAGTGCTTGCCTAGCATGCATGAAGCCCTGGGTTCCATTCCTCAGTACCACATAAATAGAAAAAGCCGGAACTGGCACTGTGACTCACGTGGTAGGGTGCTAACCTTGAGCAAATGAAGCTCAGGGACAGTGCTCAGTCCCTGAGCTCAAGCTCCAGGACTAGGAAGAAAAAAAAAACAAACCTAAAAACAAAACAACAAAAACACAATCATCAGATCTCAGCTTCCTGAGTAGCTAGGATTACAGGCGTGAGCCACCAAGAGCCCAGTAAGATAAGACTAATTTATCTTTTATAAATTGCTTTGCTTTTATAATTAAAAACTATAATGAAGAGCTAAAAAGAAAGGTTAGAAAAGTAAGATTGTAGATACAGTACGTTGAAGTCTACTTCAGAATATCTCTGAAAACTGAAATGAGTACTTTCATTTTATGTCTCATTGTCCCTATACAGAAAAACAACTATATTCAATGTAAAGTCTGTAGGGGACACGTGTGGTTCTCCGGCTCCTCGTCCTTTAGCTTCCCTTCTACTGGCACATCCCATGCACATCGGGCTGAGATACCTCTGCCTTTTAACAAGATCCTGGGATAAAGTCATTAACTCATTTGTGTAACAACAGCTGAGAGCTAGTGTGTGTGTGTGTGTGTGTGTGTGTGTGTGTGTGTGTGTGTGTGTGTGTGTGTGTGTGTGTGTGTGTGTGTGTGTGTGTGTGTGTGTGTGTGTGTGTGTGTGTGTGTGTGTGTGTGTGTGTGTGTGTGTGTGTGTGTGTGTGTAATTTTTTTCTTTTTTTTTTGTGGTGCCAAGGCTGGAACCTGAGAGCTAGTGTGTGTGTGTGTGTTTGTAATTTTTTTCTTTTCTTTTTGTGGTGCCAAGGCTGGAACCTGAGAGCTACTCTGTGTGTGTGTGTGTGTGTGTGTGTGTGTGTGTGTGTGTGTGTGTGTGTGTGTGTGTGTGTGTGTGTGTGTAATTTTTTTCTTTTTTTGTGGTGCCAAGGCTGGAACCTGAGAGCTAGTGTGTGTGTGTGTGTAATTTTTTTCTTTTTTTTTGTGGTGCCAAGGCTGGAACCCATGGTTGGGTTATTATAAATGTGAAAGAAGAACTGTAATTATTTTCGGTGACCCCCTCAAACAAGATCAGGACCACTGTGTGGGAGTCACAAGGGGACATATTTTTGCTTCGTATGTAAGAAACCGTTTCCCAAAAATCACAGCCGTACAAAAATGGCTAGCTGCCCTGCGGAGTGTTTCCTATTAGTGGATGTATAAAAAGGGGAACATACACGGCTACAGGGGATTCTGCCTGAGAGACAGTCTCTCAAATTGTTATGTCACTTTCTAGCTCTCTAAAAATGTGGAGACAGACTGAGAAGGAAAAACGCTAAAAGTCAGGTTTTCATGAATTTAAAATAGTAGCCATGATTTACAATAAACATAACAATGTGTTCTGATAAAATTTCTGATTATATGAGTGGAGGGTACAGCTCATTGGCAAAGTTTGCCTAGTGTGTGCAAGGTCCTGGGGTAATCTCCAGCATAATATTTTCTCTGTGTGTGTGTGTGTGTGTGTGTGTGTGTGTGTGTGTGTGTGTGTGTGTGTGTGTGTGTGTGTGTGTGTGTGTGCGCGCGCGCGCGTGCTGGTCCTGGGACTTGAACTCAGGGCCTGGATGCTGTCTGTCCCTGAGCTTTTGTGCTCAAAGTTAGTGCTCTACCATTTGACCCATAGCTCCATTTCTGGCTTTTTGGTGCTTAATTGTAGATAACTTTCCTGCCTAAGCTGGCTTCCAACCCATGATCCTCAGATCTCAGCCTCCTGAGTACCTATGATTACAGGTGTGAGCCATCAGTGTCCCACTCCAGGTACAATGTTTTTATCTGATTATAAGAGAAAATTTAAAAAGCTTTTCACCCTTTTTGACTAAGATCAAATGTAAAAGAAAATTCATACTCACTGCAAAATAATTTAAAATATATAAAGTTATGAGAAAGCAAAAAAAAAAAAAGTAAAGAATCATCCTACTACCTGAAATATGCACACTTAATTTTCTGGGACTGGGAGCATGGCTGAAGTGGAAGAGTAATTTGCAAGAGTGAATAGAAGCTTTTTCTGTTATATCTCTTGGTCAAATAATGTACCATATTACCCCTTTTCTCTATTTAATAATAATTGTATCCATGCTCCCATGCAATTAAGATATTACTGAAATAGAACTATATTCCTCTTCACGAATATGCCATAATTAAATAACCTTTCTAGAGTTGAATATCTAGGTTATTTAAAACTCAATATAATCTTCTAACCATCAGGAAATATAAAAGCTATTATATAAATTCTTTTTGTTATGCTGGGGTTTGAACTCAGGGCCTCAAGCTAGTGGGGCAAATATTTTACCAATAAGCCATACCTCTAGCCCTTTTTGTGCTGATCATTTGTGAGACAGGCCAGTGCCTATTTCATGGTTCTATTGCACATGCCACCAAACCCAGCTCTCAGTTGAAAAGAGGTCTCATAAACTCCTGTTCAGGTTGGCCTCAAACCGTGATCCTCCCAACTTCTCTATCTCCCAAATAGGATTATAGGCATGAGGCAATGGTGCCCCTCCACAGTTCTGCATACATACACAACTATTAGTATAACTAGATTTTTCTGTACTTAAAAGTGCTTGATTGATAAGTAAATATATAAATGAATAAGTAACAGTGAGTTATATGAAATAAAAAGCAACCTCACTGATTTTCTGATTTCTGTCTGGTTCTAGCTTGTCTAGAAAACCCAGGAACTACTTAGGAATAAACACAATTAAATAAGCTATAGCATTTAAGTCCATAAATTAAAGATGGGATAAAATATGTTTCAACATCAAGGTGAAACTGCTATAATTAATTAAATTAAATTAATTAAAGACAAGTCATTTCACCTGGCGCTAAAAATACTGAAAATAACCAGAGTTTTTCTTGTTCTTTACCTGATAAATGAGCAGAATATGGAGTTTTCTACTTATTTCCAGGTGAATTCTTCACATTTCCTGGCTAGAAAAATGGAAATGAGATTTTAGATGAAGTTTGAAAAGAAATGTGAAATGCCACAGTGTCTTCAGTATTTGGCTAGATAGAAATATTAAATATGACTATTTTTTGGGGTGGAGAGGAAGTCAAGGCATTGTAGGAAAGGGCTTATTAGGGTGTCAATGAAAGATCTGGGAAGACAATGAGATCCCAAATTCTCAGCTAGGCTTACAGTTACTGTTTAATATTGTTATAATACAGCAAGGTGCTGACATCTTATGCATGTGTAATCCTAGTTACTCAGGAGGCTGAGATCTGAGGATCAAGGTTCAAAGCCAGTCCAGGTAGGAAAGTCCATGAGACGCTTCTCTCCAATTAAGCACCAAAAAACCTGAAAATGGAGCAATGGCTCAAGTTGCAGAGCACAAAAGCTATTCTTAAGCACAAAAGCTCAGGGCAGTATCCAGGCCCCGAGTTCAAGCCCCAGGACTGTCACAAAAAATAGTCATAATACAAAATAACCCATTCCTCAGTAAAATGAAGGAGTTACTACAACTCCCTGTAGGGGCCTTGCTGAGCTCTCCTAAAAGCCCTGCTGTAGACAGCAATGTGTGCAAAGAGAGCAAGAAATAAAGTCCCGCTAATTCTCATGTAGATTCTGTTTTTTAAAAAATCAAGTCAACAATGAAAAGATTTCTTAGTTCCTGAAAGTGTTAGATGTACTAGTACTTTATGCCACTGGTGAAAAGGGAAGGCTTCTTGAACTATATCCACCACAGGGGCCAACGCACCCAAAACACACAGGCTTACTCTGAAAGTGGTTAAAATTGGACCACACCCACTCTGCCGGGAGCCATCTGGGAACATGTAACTAGGTCATGTCGTCCATCAGGAGTCGTATGGTGTGGCAAAGTTTCCACTGGGAAAAGCATATGTGCAAAATGTTTAAGGCCTGTATGTTTTTAAGACTTTCAACCTGAAATCACATTAATAAGACTTGCTTGACATCAAAAAGCCAAAGCTGGAGTCTGAAACCAATGAGGCTACCAATGGGCAGGCAATGGGGCTGGCTTCTGTTCTGTAGAGGTTACTTGGTGGCCCTTTCTCAGTGATAGATATGACTCAAAAGGGGAAAAGGGGAGCCGGTGCCAATGGTTCACGTCTGTAATCCTAGCTTCTCAGGAGGCTGAGCTCTGAGGATTGTGGTTCAAAGCCACCCCAGGCAGAAAAGTCTGTGAGACTCTTATCTCCAATAAATCACCAGAAAACCAGTAGTGGTGCTGTGGCTCAAGTGGTAGAGCACTCACCTTGAGCTGAAGAGCTCAGGGACAGCGCCCAGGCCCAGAGTTCAAGCCCCACTACAGACAAAAAAAAAAAAAAAGAGGTAGGGGAAGGTTCTGAAAGACATATATGGCTGACCCTGTTAGTTTCAGAGTATGGTTTCTAGGTAATTTTACTGCTTATCAGAGTGGTTAGGAACTGGTCTGTAAGTACTGCTCTGTAGCTGTTATTCCAGATTAATTAATTAAGTATCTTCATTTGGATAACAAATTAAATGGTCACCACATCTACTTGCTGATCGAGTTATGGGAAGCAAGGCCATACGCACTATGTTGGGTGGAGCAACATTCAAATACACAGGCCTACTTGATGCTCTGAACACAGCTCTGCAGAACTCAGCACCAGTGGCCCTCCATTCACCATCCCTGCTTCCAGGTGTGTACACAGGTGAATTCACATATGCACACGCATGAGTACACACACAAGTACCACAGCGCAGCCCTATGGGCCTTTTTGCTGTTACTCAAACCTGCCAAGCTCTTTCTCTTTAGTATATATAACAAAACATGACAAATATGTCACTAAAAAAATATTGGGCTTATCCACCCACCCTATTACAAATTCGAGCTCTCTTGGCAGAGGCCGCTGTAATCTCAGAGAAAACAACATTCTCACTTCAAAAGGCAGTTCGTGATTTAGCACAAGCCAAAAATCTAGGGTTTTTTATTTTCAAAGACATCACTTTATTTTAATAGTACTTTATAATTCAATGATCTTCCTTACAATCCAATTTTAATATATATGGTCGTGGTTTTTAAAATTTCTTTTTAACCATGTCCATGAACATGAATAACAATGTTAGAAAAACTGAAAGCTTTAAACAAAAATCAAAGCACTGGTTTCTAATTACTATTCACTGCCATGTGAGCATGATTGCTAGCCAAACCTTGAAGCTATGGCTGAACTGTTTGAGTCCTCACCCACCAGCAGAATTATTTTCATCACTTTTCCAAAGTGCGACTTGCTCACATCTAAAAGGGGAATGATAATGGACTTTGCCAGAGCAAAGAACACAATACTCAAGACCAAGCTCAAGAAACCTGACCTACTCTACTACTGTATGACGTTTAATTTTTTTAAGAAAAAGGAAAAGGATAAATGACCTGTTAAAGATCCTAACAAGATTCCTTCATTGAAATATCTTAGGCAAAACAGTACTCCAATTCCAGGGCTTATGACTATGCTAACAGACATGGCAAAGAGAAATTAAGGCTGTAGTAGAATTAAGCTTAATAAACAGTCACCTTTACAGTAGGGTTATTATTTTGGGTTATCTGGGCAGGCCCAGTTGAATTTTAAGAGTTAACAGAAACTGGTTGCCAGCGGCTCAAGGCTGTAATCCTAGATACCTGAGAGGCTGAGATCTGAGGATTGCAGTTCAAAGCCAAGCCCGCGCAGAAAAGTCCACAAGATTCTTTTTTCTTTTTTTTTTTTGGGTCCGGTCGTGGGGCCTGAACTCTGGGCCTGGGCACTGTCCCTCAGCTCTTCAGCTCAAGACTAGCGCTCTACTACTTGAGCCACAATGCCACTTCCGGCTTTTTTTTTCTTTTCGCTTATGTGGTACTGAGGAATGGAACTCAGGGCCTCATGCATGCAAGGCAAGCACTCTACCACTGAGCCACCTTCTTAGCCCGTCCACAAGATTCTTACCTCCACTTAACCATCAAAAAGCCAGAAGTGGAGCAGTAGCTCAAGTAGTAGAATGCTGGCCTTCAGGAGAAAAGCTCAGGAATAGGACCTGGTCCTGAGTTCAAGCCCCAGGACCAGCACACACACAAAAAGTTAACAGAAAGCAAGGAGACAGAAGAAAAGGGACTGAGAAAGGGGACTTCAAAAAGTCTTGACCTATTGTTGCTGGCTTTGAAGATGCAAAAAGAAGGCTTGGAGTCAAGGTCTCTCTAGAAACTAGGACAGCTTTACTCACTAGCCAGCAAAACAGAGCAGAGTTTATAACAGCAAGAAACTGAATTTTTGTCAACAATTTAAATAAGCAGGAAATTGTGCTTTAGGGCCTCCAAAATGGAATGCAACTCTGCTGACACCTTAATTTAGTATTGGACTTCTCACTTGCAGAACTAAGATAATTACTTTGTATTATTTTCAGCCTGAAAATGTATAGTCACTTGTCTGAGTAGCAATAGGAAATCACAGTAATTATACAAAGACTTCTTTGAGAAAGGGTGTTGCCATATAGCTCAGGCTGGCCTCAAAATTCACAATCCTCCTGCCTCAGACTCCCAAATGCTAGCATTAGTCATGTACCTACGATTCCACAGACTGTATCTTCTCAGGTGTTAGTCATCTGGGTGGTTGTCAATGGTTGGTGTGTGTTAGAGTCTGTTCATTTTATGTGTTCTACACATGGGTGAATTCATCAAATCTGCAAAACAGCACTAGGAAGTCCTATCCTCACTTCCCAGGCCATCAGAATAACTTCCCAAGGTTTTAAGGCTAGGCTGAGGCAAGGGTACTTTGTACAACTCCATCCTGCAAGCCAATCTTTCTAGGTACCAAAAGTATACACTTTTCCTGAGAGGAGATAGTTCCCACCCCCCACCTCCACATTTCAGGATTTCTAGCTGTTTACTATTGATAAGTGATGATGTTTTTAACAAAATAGAAAAGTGATAACTTTTGTTTCTTAGAATTTCATTGTATTTTGTGACAGTACTGGGGCTTGAACTTGGGGCTAGGGTGCTTTCCCTTAGCTTTTGTGCTCAAGGCTGATATTACACTATTTGAGCCACAGTTCTACTTGTAGCTTTTTGTTGATTACTTGGATAAGAGTCTCAACACTTTTGTGTCCAGACTGCAATCTCAGCCTCTTGAGTAGCAAGGATTACAGGCATGACCCACCAACAACTGTGCTATCTCTTAGAATTTTAGGAAGTTGGAAAGGCACAAATTCAGAATAACTTTAGCTTTACAGAAAATCTACCACATTGGCCGTATTTGCCTTTTAATTTTATAGCATTAAGAACACTAACTACAAGATCTACCCTCTTAATAGATACACAGCTCTTAGCTGTATGGGAGATTCAGGAAGCAAGGACTTGATGTTAAGCCAAGTGTTGTACTACTGAGCTACACTCCTAACCTATAACAGGTTTTGCAGAGTATGACACTGCATTGTCATCAAAAGGCACAATGCTGTATCCATCTCATTCAACTGAAACGTTAGGCTAATCAATTAGCGACTCCTCAGGCTCCCAAACTCCAGCCAATCGCCATTCTATTCTGCTTCTATGAGCTTGACTATTTTAGACATCTCATGTAAGTAAAATCATTCAGTCTTTATCCTTTTATGTTAGGCTTGTCTCAAAGACAAATATTTTAAGATGGCATAACTTACTTTCAGTGGAAGACATAGATGTGTTTAGAGAGCTGAGGAATTTGGAATGGAGGAAGAGAAAGCAGAATGTGTTTACTCAGGGTGGTGGCTGCTGCTTCCCTTGCATTTATTTTCCTGCTGAGTCAGCAGGGCCTGAAATAAAACTATTAAAACCTCAGCCTTAAAAGTTCTGCTCGGTTTTCCTGTGGGGGAACAGGTTCATAGTCTCTTGTATGTATTTCCCTGCCTTTGAAATAATTAATTATTGTTGGTCGTTAACAGTCATTCTGTAATTCTTTGATAGTAACTCATTTTTTAAAATTTAGTGAAAAACTAAAATATGACCTTTATTCAGATACAATGTTATGTTTAGCTAATAATTATAAGACAAATCCAAAGGAGCCATTTGTGACCATAAGGACCAACATACACAACTAGCCTCCATCTGTTATGATTTTTTTTATTTATTTTTTTGGGTCCGGTCGTGGGGCCTGAACTCTGGGCCTGGGTGCTGTCCGTCAGCTCTTCAGCTCAAGGCTAGAGCTCTACCACTTGAGCCACAGCACCACTGCCGGCTTTTTTCTTTTTGCTTATGTGGTGCTGAGGAATCGAACCCAGGGCCTCAGGCATGCAAGGCAAGCGCTCTACCACTGAGCCACCTTCCCAGCCCTGTTATGATTATTTTTTATGTCAGTATTAAGGCTTGAACTCAGGACCTTGAACTATGGCGTGGCTTTTTTGTTCAAGGCTAGCACTCTACCACTTGAGCCGAACCTCCATTATAGCCTCCATCTCTGATATCCAGATATTACATTGCAACTATTCTGAAAGGGTTTCAGATGAGCAATAAATAATCAATAAACGTTTCATGCTTTTATTAAGCTCGTGGAGTAAAAGAGTGAAATTCATTAAGCCAACTACATGAAAACTTTTGTTTATCAAAAGAAGAAACCTGAGCTGAGCACAGTGGTCCACACTTATAATCCCAGCACAAAGCAGAAGCAGAAGGATCTTGAGTTCAAAGCAAGCCTGGGCTACATAGTAAGACCTTGTTTCAAACTACCCTCCCCTCCAAAATAAAGCTAAAAATTGAAAACACAAGCCCTAAATTAAGAAGACAATTAAAAACTTGGAGTCAAAATATTAATATATAGGAAAAAACTACTTATAATCAGTAAGAACAAGATAGTGATCTATATACAAAAATGGTCAAAGACTTAAAACAGACATTTCAATAAGAAACCAATAAATGTTGAGGTTGGATGCTTGGCTCGGTTAGTAAAGTGCTAGCCAATGAGCAAAGGCATCACGTACCAAGTTGGAGTCCCAGTCTCAGACCAAAACAAGAAAAAAGAAAAAAAAAACGAATAAATGTCCAGAGTCAGCTTCTACTAACAAAATGGAACACTCTGAACTGCAAATAAGGACAAGCATGATAAAATATTCAAATAGAGCAAATATTTTAATTCATACTGATATTTACCAATGAAGAGAAGAAAGAGGGAGAATGCAGTAAAAAAAAAAAAATCAATGCGTATCCTACAAAATTAAGAACAGTGAGGGAAGGGGTGGTTAGGGGAGGGAAGGGGTGGTTAGGGGAGGAATGGAGGAGAACGCTGAAGGGGTGGCACTGGCCATTGTAGTCATAAAGTGTTTTGTTGAATGGCAACACCTCTGTCCAACTACTTCAAGATAATAAAAAGATTTTAAAAAGAAAACTTCCAATTGACAAAAATATTGAAATAAATGCACAAAAAGATAAAACATTTATTCTGCTTTTTGTATAATAGCTATGACTGGGTAACTAAATAGTAAACGAGGAAAAGTAGAGGATAAGATATTCCTTGTTGGAATACTACAGCTAATGAGTGAACTGACAGATGTAGAACATCATAGTTTCCCCACTCCCACATACTCAGCATCAGGGGCTCCCAAAAATTCCTGTTTTAGAGTCAGGTGGGGGGTAGGAGATAGAAAACCAATGGCCCTTCAATATCAAATAATTTCTAAAATCCATACCAACCAAATGTTAAAAGAGCCTTCTGCTACTTTTTCATTTAAAACTGGTAGTAAATGTTTAATGTTCTCAAATCAATTTTACTGCCTTTATTGAGAACACACAGCTGGCAGGGTAAACAAATGGGAGAACATTTTAAGTCCTTATTGACTTTGAGCAGGGGAAAGGTGTAGCACAGAAAGAAATGCAAACCAATCACCAACTAATTAGAAATCTTAGCCATTCTATTCCCAAATGACTCACATTTAAATCTCAGTAGTTTTTTTTTTTTTTTTTGGTCTGGTCATGGGGCCTGAACTCTGGGTCTGGGCTAGCGCTCTACCACTTGAGCCATAGCACCACTTCCGGCTTTTTTTTTTTTTGCTTATGTGGTACTGAGGAATCGAACCCAGGGCCTCACGCATGCAAGGCAAGCACTCTACCACTGAGCCACCTTCCCAGCCCTCTCAGTAGTTTTAAAAGGGTTGACAAATCACTACCAAATACTAGCCTTTCTAATTTGTGTTACAACCACAGCCCTCTACCAGATGTGTGTGTGTGTGTGTGTGTGTGTGTGTGTGTGTGTGTGTGTCTGTCTGTCTGTCTGTCTGTCTGTACGGGCGTCACTCCTGGGGCTTGAATTCAGGGCCTGAGTGTTTTATCCCTGAGCTATTTTGCTCAAGGTTAGTATTCTACCACTTAAGCCACAACTCCATTTCCAGCTTTTTGATATTTATTTTATTTATTTATTATTATTTTTGGGGGGTCTGGTTGTGGGGCCTGAACTCTGGGCCTGGGCGTTGTCCCTCAGCTCTTCAGCTCAAGGCTAGCACTCTACCACTTGAGCCACAGAGCCACTTCCAGCTTTTTTCTTTTTGCTTATGTGCTGCTGAGGAATTGAACCCAGGGCCTCATACATGCAAGGCAAGCACTCTACCACTGAGCCACCTTCCCAGACCCTTTTTGATATTTAATTGAAGATAAAGGTCTCTCGTTTCTGCCCTGGCTGGTTTTGAACCATGTTCCTCAGATCTCAATCTGAATAGGTAGGATTAAAGGTGTGAGCTACTGGCACCCGGCCCAGACTGAACACTTCGAGAAGTCAATGCCCCCCTTTGGCTTTAGTGCGTATGCCTGTCTGCAGACACCATAGCCCTGTCAGGAACCCTCTCTGGCTTTGCTGTGCCAAAGTCTGTGGTTAAAGAGACAGTGCTCTGGAGGAGGCTGATTCAGGTTCATTTTCTGTGCTTCTTTCTAGGCTGTATACTATTTTCCTGACATTTCTGTTTCCTTTCCCAAATAAAAATTTTGTGAGGACTTGTTAAAAGCATTTTTTAAACAGGAAAGAAGGCTTCCAAAGAAAATGTCAGAGAAGTGAAAATAAAACTGTTTATTCTTTAAAAAGGATTGCCAGGGGACACGTGACAGTGGTCCAGAACTTCCCACTCAAGAGCTAGTTTAAAAGGACCCAAGAGTGACTAATTCCTTTGGAAACCATCAGTACAAAAATCAGATTTCACTGGAAGATTATATATACATTGAGAAGGGATCATCTTTTATTTTGTAATGTTAGTTCTGAATTCTTCAAAATTACAGATCTTATTTTGAGCTAGTTTTTGGCCAAGCTCCTGTATATGCTAAACACACACTTTTATCACTGCGCTATATATCTCTACCCCATTCTTTCTTTCTTTTTTTTATTGTCGGTAGTGGAGCTTGAACTCTGGGCCCGGGCGCTGTCCCTCAGCTCTTCAGCTCAAGGCATGCACTCTACCACTAGAGCCACAGCGCCACTTCCAGTTTTCTGAGTGAGTGCCACTTCCAGTTTTCTGAGTGGTTTATTAGAGATAAGAGTCTCACAGACTTTTCTGGCTGGGCTGGCTTTGAACTGTGATCCTCAGATCTCAGCCTCCTGAGTAGCTAGGATTACAAGTGTGAGCCACCAGTGACTGGCTTCATTTTTTAAAAAAATTTTTGTCAGTCCTGAGGCTTGAACTCTAGGCTTGGGCGCTGTCCTTGAGTACATTTTGCTCAGGACTAATACACTACCACTTGAGCCATAGCTCCACTTCTGGCTTTTTCTGTGATTTAATTGGAGATAAGAGTCACACAGACTTTCCTGCTCCGGCTGACTTTGAACCATGATCCTCAGATCTCAACCATCTGAGTAGCTACAATTAGAGGCATGAGCCACCAGTGCCCGGCTCAACCCATTAATTTATATATTTCTTTTTTTTCTTTTCTGCTGGTACTGGGATTTGAACTCAAGAGACTTGAGCACTTACTTAGCTTTTTTACTTAAGTCTGGTCCTCTACCACATGAGCCATGCCTCAACTCCTGGCTTTTTGCTGGTGAATTAGAGATATGTCTCTCTCCGGTTTGTCTACCTAGGCTAGCTTTGAACCTCAATCCTTATTTCTCAGCCTTCCAAAGTTGCTAGGATTATAGGCATGAGCTATCAGCTTGATTTATATATTTCTGAAAAGAGTATTTTTGAGTAAAACAACCAGAGTTAAAATGAACTTCCCTCAGTCTATAATGTAGAAGGTCTATGAATATAAGAACCCTACTTTTCCCTTAGCTGCCTTTGCCTCTGAATGTGTAGAGGATAGGATCTCTGTTCCATACACATTCTATCTTTTCAGGAGAAAGAGGACATCCCAGCACTCATGGCCATAGTAGGCCATGTGGCTGGGAGAAAAGATGAAAGGTGACACATCGTTATGATTACACAAGCTCCTCCCTCCGTTGCTCATGGCACAAAGAATATGGCCTGTGGCAGGTAGCTGCTTCTCAACACACCATGGCTCCTGCCCCAGCTGGGAAATAAACAGATTCATTATTGCTCAAGGAAATAACCAAGATTATGGTAATAAGAAGAGGGGTATCTCAATGATGTCTCCCTACCCCCTAAAGGAGCAGAGTATATTCCCCTTTGAATCCACTTTTGCTAAAAGTTTTGTTGTTGTTGTTGTTTTGTTTTGTTTTTATTGGTCAGTCGTGGGACCTGACCTCTGGGCCTAGTCACTGTCTCTCAGTTCTTCAGCTCAAGGCTAGTGCTCTATCACTTAAGCTACAGTGCCACTTCCAGCTTTTTCCACTTATGTGGTACAGAGGAATAGAACCCAGGGCCTCATGCATGCAAGGCAAGCACTCTACCACTGAGCCACCTTCCCAGCCCGATAAAAGTTTGTACATAACATGCCATACTTTGAGCAAACTATAAATAGAATAGAGTAGAAATTAGGGTCTAAGGCCGAGGTGAAATGCCTTGGACAATCAACACTTATTCGACTTAGCTGATAATAAACACTACTAGAAAATTCTAAGTTAGAAACTTAGAACAAAAACAAATAGAAAAAGCTAAAAATAAAAACAGACAAAAAAAGGCAAGTGAAGCAATAGGGTTATCCAACACCTTACACATCTAGAAAAACACACATTTAAGCCAAATGGGAGACAGTGAAAATGATTATTTTTTACCTTATGAAAGTGTTCCTTCCACAAATCTTCTGCAACTATGTATCCTCGTAAACCCCAGTCATACAGCTTTTCCCCAGTGACCTAGAAACAAAAGAGAAAGCATTTGCTACTATTCCATATGTGACTGGTAAAGAAGAGAATATTCAGCTTTCTTTTTTCCTATTTCTAAAGGAAATGACTACTATAGGATGTCTGTGTAACAATGAGTTGGGCAACAGTGGATCACATCTGTAATTTTACCTACTCAGGAGGCTAGGATCTGTGGATCGTGGTTCAAAGCCAGCCCAGACAGGAAAGTCCAGGAGACTCTTATCTCTAATTAACCACCAAAAATCTGGAAATTGAACTGTGGCTCAAATGCTAGAGTGCCAGCAAAATAAAAAAAAAAAACCCTAAGGAATATCACCTAGGCCCTGAGTTCAAGCTCCAGGATTGGTACAGAAAAAAAAAAATCAGTGAAACATAAGCAAGTAAAAAGATAGCAAGAGCCAGGCGCTGGTGCTCATGCCTGTAATCCTAGCTACTCAGAAGACTGAGGTCTGAGGATCATGGTTCAATACCAGCCCAGGCAAGAAAGACTACCATCTCAAACTATTCAGAAAAGGCTGGAAGTGGCACTATGGCTCAAGTGGTAGAGCACTAGCCTTGAGTGAAAAACCTTAGTGCCCAGGCTCTAAGTTCAAGCCCCACAACAGACAAAAAAAAAGACAAGAAAAAGAAAAAGTGAAAACTGAAAAGAGGCTGGGAAGGTGGCTCAGTGGTAGAGTGCTTGCCTTGCATGCATGAGGCCCTGGGCTCGATTCTTCAGCACCACATAAACAGAAAAAGCCGAAAATGGTGCTGTGGTTCAAGGGGTAGAGTGCTAGCCTTGAGCACAGAGAAGCTCAGGGGCAGTGCCCAGACACTGAGTTCAAGCCCCAGGACTGGGAAAAAAATGAAGAGAGCAAATAAAAACCAAAACACATAGTTAAAAAAAAAGGATAGCAAAAATGACAGAATAAGAAGGAAAACTAGCCAGAACTGGTGGCTCACTCCTATAATCCTAGCTACTCAGGAGGCTGAGATCTGAAGACTGGTTCGAAGCCAACCCTGGCAGGAAAGCTAAGGCTTGAGTTGTGGCACAAGTAGCAGCTGGCCTTGAGCACAAAAGCTCAGGGATTATGCCCAGGCCCTGAGTTAAAGCCCCAAGAATGGCCCCCTCAAAAAAAAAACCCTACAAAATAAAACAAAATTAAGCAGCAAACCCATAAGTTCCACACAAACAAGAATGAAGAACACTATAGCCGACTGAGTAGTAACTTACCTGGGCAAACGCAATTGCTTGTTGTGGGTAATAGACAGAGGCAGCGAATCCCATGAAAGTAGGTGGATATACTATCTTCTTTATTTTTGAGCCTAATAAATAAAAGGTGGCATACACCATTAGGTGATTGTTATAATCAACATCACCATCTCCTTTAAACATTTAATATTGAGTAAGATTTCTTTGGCCCTAAATTGAGAGGATATATTTAATAACAGTATGTACACCAAATTTTTTTGAGATATCCTTCATATAATCTTCCTGTTTAAAGGATAGAATTCAAGGACTTTTAGTATGTTCACAGAGTTGTATAACCATCATCAAAACCAATTTTATCATCCGCAAAAGAAACCCCTACCTATAGGCTGGTGTAGCTCAGTGGAACAGCATGTGCTTAGCATTCATAAGGCCCTGAGTAAGAAAGAGAGAGAAGAGGAAGAGGAAGAAAAATAAGGAGGAGGGCTAGTGCCAGTGGCTCACGCCCATAATACTAGCTACACAGGAAGCTGAGATTGAGGATCACAGTTCAAAGCCAGCCTGGGCAGGAAAGTCCGTGAGACTCCAATGAATTACTCAGCAAGAGCAGGAAATAGCGCTGTGGTTCAAGTGGTAGAGTGCTAGCACTGAGCACAAAGAGGCTAAGAGACAGTGCCCAGCCTTGAGTTCAAGCCCCAAGACTGGCAACAGATAGACAGACAGATAAGGAGGAAGGAGAGAGGGAAGGATGAGTGAGGGAGGGACACTCATTAATAGTCACTCCCCAATTCCCTCCTGCGACCCTTCAACAAAAACCATCTGCATTCTATCTCTATTGATTTGCCTACTGCGAACATATAATATGTGGCCTTTCATGACTGACATCTCTAACTCAACAAATGTTCTCAAGAGAACCACCATTTCTTTTTTGATTATTTTAACAGTCTCTTTTATGTCATCCAGGCTAGCTTTTAACTCACTATTTACACTTGAGATCATGATCCTCCTGCCTCAGCCTCCCAAGTACTTCAAATGCTGGGATTATAGGCATGTGCCACCACACCTGGCTTAAGAACTATCATTTGGGGGCTGGGAAGGTGGCTCAGTGGTAGAGCGCTTGCCTTGCATGCATGAGGCCCTGGGTTCGATTCCTCAGCACCACATAAGCAAAAAGAAAAAGCCGGAAGTGGCGCTGTGGCTCAAGTGGTGGAGCGCTAGCCTTGAGCTGAAGAGCTGAGGGACAGCACCCAGGCCCAGAGTTCAGGCCCCATGACCGGACCCCCTCCCCCCCAAAAAAGAACTGTTATTTGAGGATGGGAGTGAAAAAAACTGTAAGAGAGTGAAGGAAGGGGTGACACTGTCCAAAAATAAATGTATTCTTTGCCTGACTTATCTAACTGTAAACCCCTATACATCACCTTAATAATAACAATTCAAAAAAATTTTAAAGGAAAACAAAGAACAATCATTTCTAAGGAAGCAGATAAAAAACTTTTGAAAAACTTACAAGTGCCAGTATTTTAGTTCCTAGAGGTTTTAAAGTAAATTACCTTCCTTGTCCCATTCCTCTCCTTTCTGAAATTCCATTAAAATAAACAGTAAAGAAGAAAACACAGAGCAATGAGCCCATAATGAAGAGGAAACAAAGGGGCATCGGCAGAGAGCGAGTGCTAATCAGCTGAGGGTATAGCTCCTAGGTAGAATGATTATATAACAAGTACAAAGCCCTGGGCTCATTCTCCACTACCATAAAAAAGTGTTAGCCAGGCACTGGTGGCTCACACATGTAATCTTCACTACGAAGGAAATGAAGATACGAGGATCATGGTTCAAAGCTAGCCTAGACAGGAAAATCCATGAGATGCTTATGTCCACCAAAAAGCCAGAAGCAAGAGCTGTGGCTCAAGTGGTAGGGTGATGTTCTTGAGCAAAAAAGCTCAGTAACAGTGCCTAGACCCTTAGTTCATGCCCCAAGACCAGCAAGTAAGTGTTAACAAATTTTCATAAATTAGGGAATGAATGTGAATAAGAGAGCAGGAAATGCTAAGGAGGGGTTGCGGCCAAAGAAGGAGCGGAGCTTCCCTACACAGAGCTGGCAGGTACTACAGGGAGTAGTGATGGCAACCAGGGATCAAGACAACAGGACAAGTCCAAGTCCTATGCAGGGCCAAGTTGACCCATTCCTTTTCACATGCCATCTCAGTGCCAAAGTGCTTCTAGCTAGGCCCAATTTTTAAAACAGGATAGGGCTGGGCACAGTAGCTCATGTCTATAATCCTAGCTACTCAAGAGACTGAGATCTAAGGATCAGGGTTCAGAGCAAGTTCAAAAACAAATCTGTGAGACTCCGATCTCCAATTAACCAACACAAACCCAGAACCAGAGCTGTGGCTCCAGTGGTAGAGTGTCAGCCTTCAGCAGAAGTTGAGTCTGTGTGGGTGCCTGTTAGCAAAGTGTTCCTCTCACTGGTGGCCCTGGATCCAGGTAACCTCATCTAAGGTTAGAACCTGCCCTGCTAGCAAGCCCCATCTATGCAAAAAGACTTCTTACTAGTGTTTCAGCTGCCTCATTCTGAAACATGACCAGACAAACAAGACTTTGGAGGAAAGCCTACAACATAAAAGAGAAAGACAGAAACAAGCAAGAATTAAAAAAAAATCAAAAAAAACCTTACCCTACAGGAAATAGAACTTCAAAACAAAACTAAACCTGTTATTAAATATGATCAAATAAATTCAAGAAGCTACTACATTAAAAGAAAAAAAGAATTCAATGAAAAACATGAGACATTCAGAGAACAAGGAAAAGCTCATGAAAATGAAAAAGTTAAATACTCAAAATGAATAAAATAATTATGAAATATAGGAGACATTTAAGGTCATTTAAAAATAACCCAATTTGGGGCTGGGAAGGTAGCTCAGTGGTAGAGAGCTTGCCTTGCATGCATGAGGCCCTGAGTTCGATTCTTCAGCACCACGTAAGCAGAAAAAGCCAGAAGTGGTGCTGTGGCTCAAGTAGTAGAGTGCTAGCCTTGAGCTGAAGAGCTGAGGGACAGCACCCAGGCCCAGAGTTCAAGCCCCATGACCAACAAAAAAAAAAAAAAAAAAACAGGGCTGGGAAGGTGGCTCAGTGGTTGAGCGTTTGCCTTGCATGCCCGAGGCCCTGGGTTCGATTCCTCAGCACCACATAAGCAAAAAGAAAAAAGCCGGAAATGGTGCTGTGGCTCAAGTGGTAGAGCGCTAGCCTTGAGCTGAAGAGCTAAGGGACAGCGTCCAGGCCCAGAGTTCAGGCCCCATGACCGGACCCAAAAAAAAAAAAAAAAAAAAAAATCAATGTGCTAGTTAATGAGCTCAGAAAGGAAAAAGAGAGTGCATTGTCAAAGACCAAGCAGATATCATCCTCCAGCTGAAGGCTACGAACTACCAAAATATCCAACCAAGGAATGGAAACATCCACATCTACTTATGGCACCATAGACTCTCAGAACATTCAGATATTAAAATAAGACCCTCAAAGCTTCTAGGAAGGAAAACAAAGTCACTTCAGAAGCAGCAAGCATCCAGACTAGTAATCTACATTTCCATCGGCAACAGCCAGATGCTAGAAGGTACATCTTTCGAAGTTTCAATGGAAAGCAATTTCCATCACTATCCCAGCTGTCCCTTGGTATGAGGGCAGACACTCAAGGTCTTGGGAAATTTGTCTCCAATAGACCTTTTTTGCAAATGATTTAAGCATGCAGCTTAAGAACATGGCAGGATAAATGAAGGGAAGACAACACAGAAATCCAGGAAAAGGGGGGCGCAAATGAAAAAAGGGGGCTCAAGGAAAAACAGCTGTGTTGAGATCTCAAGCCAGCTGCAGGAGGAGATAGAGCTGAGGAGCAGATGGAGAAGAGGAGTGATGAAAATACTCAGCAGGATGATGAGTTTAGAGAAACTTGAGAATCAGGGGGAAAAACAATTGATAAGGGATAAAACAGAAGCATATGAACTTGATCCAAGAAATAGTCTCCACTGAGAACACTGTTTTTGACATGGGCTCATACACATAATAATAGAAGTGGTGGAAATTGGTTTTAAACTTGATTTTTTTTCCAGTCTTGGAGCTTGAACTCTGGAAGTGGGCCCGGTCCCTGGGCTCCTTTTGCTCAAGGCTAGCATTCTACCACTTGAGCTACAGGGCCACTTTTGGCTTTTTCTGTGATTAATTGGAGATAAGAGTCTCATGGACTTTCTTGCCCCAGCTGGCTTGGAACTATGATCCTCAGATCTCAGCTTCCTGAATAGCTAAGATTACTGGGGTGAGCCACTGATGCCCAGCCGGTTAATTATTTTTCTGCAAGTCTTATTGCCTATATTGAAAGTATATGATTATCCTAGAAAAGAAAATCCTGGTACCCTGGGGTCTCTCATGTCCACTTGAGCACCTGGGTAGTTCAAATGGGTACCATCTAGGAGCCCTTTTCACCTCTCTTGGGAAAGGTAACAAGTGGTAGTTCTTTTTTTTTTTGGGGGGGGGGGGTCCGGTCGTGGGGCCTGAACTCTGGGTCTGGGCGCTGTCCCTCAACTCTTCAGCTCAAGGCTAGCGCTCTACCACTTGAGCCACAGCGCCACTTCTGGCTTTTTTTTTTTCTTTTTGCTTATGTGGTGCTGAGGAATTGAACCCAGAGCCTCAGGCATACAAGGCAAGCGCTCTACCACTGAGCCACCTTCCCAGCCCCCCACAAGTGGTAGGTCTTGGACCACAAACTTTTGCCAGACCTCTCAATGAGCTGGGCGGGAGGGCCTTCCCAGAACCTCAGAAAGGAGGTATGAGCATATTCCTCTCCTCAATCTTCATACTCATTCCTCCCACAAAGCCAGTGAGAGGTGTAGGGAAGTCACCAGTGATAACAGCCATCTCTCTGTGAGCCTCCGGTTGCTGCCAAAGTCATGGGCATGCTACTCACATAACTTAGCAGATGCACTCAAGGAACCTTATCAGGAGGGACCCCTGAGTTCATACTGCAACTGCCAGCTTAAGGTACCAACTTCCCTGAAGGCATCTGTATACTGCTCTGGCCATCCAAAGGCATGCTTATCACCCTGGTCCCCTTGCTTGGTGACCTCCTCTGATGATAATCATCCCAGGCCCTTCTACACTAGCACCCTGGCCGTGGGATGCCTATCAATCCCAACCATTGTCTAAATGAAATGGGAACCCTTTTTCTGAATAGCTTTGCAAGAAAGACAGAGGAAGAAGTTTGTGGAAAAAATGTTGGCTGGCAGTTGACTACTAAAAATGATCTAGAAATATTATTATTACTATGACTATTATTTAGTCAGTTGTGAGGCTTGAACTCAGGGCCTCGGCATTGTCCTTGTGCTCTTTTTGCTCAAGGCTAGCACTCTACCACTTTGAGCCACAGCTCCACTTCTGGCTTTTGAGTGGTTATTTGAAGATAAGAGCCTCACTGGGACTTTTCTGCCCAGGCTGTCTTCAAACTGCCATCCTCAGATCTCAGCCTCCTGAGTAGCTAAGATTACAGGCGTGAGCCACCAGTGTCTAGCACTATTCCTATTATTATTATTAGTTACTACTTTCAAGATGGGAGGACGGCCTGGAGACTATAACAGGTGTTCATATTATAGGGAAACTGTGAGCAGCAACAGTACACCTGCCCTCCAGACTTGAAAATAAACATAATGCCTAAAGAGGAAGAGTTCTAAACTGAGACGTATCAAAATATGGTTCTCTTTCATGAGGTTTAGATTACAGCATTCTCTGTATTGGGATAGCTCTATTAGGCACTTTTGCAACATCTAAGTTTTATATTATCAATATATCAATATATTTTACAATTAAATTTAAATTGTCAATATATCTTACAATCAGTGAAACTAAACAGTTCATAAAAACTAATTTCATCAGAGAAAAGCCTTTTACCAGCCTTTATTTCTAATTTTATTCTGTAATCAAGCAATGGAAAGTAGTAATAATTTTTGGTGCTTGGGATTGAACCCAGCACTCACTAGGCAAGTACACTGCCACTGAACTCTTCCCAACCCTCAAGCTCCCAGAGTACTATTTTTAACTTGCTAATTCATTAACTTTTTTTTTTTTTCAGTCCTTTTTGCTTTTATTGTTTTTCAAATATGAGTCTCATTGTTTCTCTCAGGCTGGCCTAGGCCACCATCTTCTTATTGGTACTTCTCATGCAGTGGGGATGAGAGTGGTGAACAATCACCCCCAGCTTTTTATTGGCTAAGATGGTGTCTCATACACTTTTTTGCTTAGAATGGCCTCTATCAAAACAATGATCATCCTGAGGTTAACCTTCCAACTAGACAGGATTACAAATACAAGCCACATTCTTAGTTTGAACTTTTCCTCTTAACAGTAATAATAAAAATAATAAATCCCGCAGTTCTTTGACAAATAGTTCCCTAGTATTGATTCTGAAAGGACCATCTCATTGCTAGATAAAAATCATATGCATATAGTATTTGTTGAACTGAGTGGGAAAAATACTATCTACTTGATACTGCTACAAACCATAATACTTGATTTCCTTTCAGAAAATACTAGGCTCGATAAACATTAACTCTTAAGATAATGAAAGTATGTCTAGAGAAAAAAGCAAATTAACAAAACAATTAACTTCACATTAACTGAATCAAAAGAAAGAATTCTAAGAAGCTAAAAGAGATGCATTTGTTTAATTAACAGTATTTCTTGGAAAATTCTTTTTATTCCCTTCCTTTGGTGTCAGTAACAGAGTTCTGAACTCAGGGCCTTACATTCTCACTATACCACTTGAACTATGCCTCCAGTCCATCATTTTGCTGATTAATTGGAGATGGAGTCCTACAGACTTTTCTGCCTGCACTGGTCATTAACTTTTAATTGTAAGCATTTTAAAGTTGTTACATCAACACTGACTATAAACATGACACATCAAGTTAATAAACTCTCAATAATAAATTTATTGTAGGAGGGGAAAAGTAAGGGAACGTGAAAAAGGGGTGACATTGTCCAAATAGAAATATGCCTGACTTGGTCATTACCTGACCTCTGAATGGTAACCCCTCTGTACAACACCTTAATAATAATAAACTTGTATTTAAGAAAAAGTTTATTGTGATTGGTAGCTTGGTTGGTGAAGTACTCAGAAAGCTTTTTGATTAGGCATGAAAAACTATACTAAAGAGCAATAGGAATTGAAGCAAGTAAATGGGATTTTTAAGAATAATTTTTTTTTACCAAGAGTATGCAATTTATATATGTATGCTTAAAGTCAAATATAAAGTCAAATAATGATTGCTAACCACCATATTAATTATATATTACGAAGGCCATATTCAGGAACCAACTCAGTATCTTAAAATAAAAAGAGAAGAACTAAATGTTTATCTTCCCTCCCACATGAACAGCTAAAAAAATAAAAAATTAATAAAGACAAAACTTCACCTACCTCTAGTAAAGAGAAATCCAACAAATCCGGCAAAACCAATAACACCAAGTCTTGGAAAAAATCCAGGAGGTGCGTTTTGGAGAAAATTATAGCTATCTACAACAGAAGCAGATCAGGAAATAATTCCACAAATTGCTCATTAAAAAACAAAACAAAAAGTCTTACATATAGCTAGTATATACAGTATCTAATGGATGCAAACCATACATTCTTTGCTTTCTGCTAATAGACTTTTTTTTGGTCATTGTTGGTGTTGTTTCAGACAGGGGCTCATTATGCGGCCCAGGCTGGCCTCAAACTCACAACACTTTTGCCTCTACCTCCTGAGTGTAAGGATTACAGGCATGTGCTATCCTGCCTAGATCTGCTCAAATTCTTCAACATATTCTTTCAGGAACCAAATACATTAAACTTGGAGAAATCAGTATCCTTATGGTGTACAAGTTCATGTAGGAAGTAGCCACTGTTGGTGATAACAGCATAAGTAATAAATAAAAGAAAATACAACATGTGAGCCTCTTACTGTGCCTAAGCATACCTTAGGATAATTTGCATGATGCTTCCTTTCCTCTTCTCTCCTCTGGACCAATCTCACCAAATAAGAGCCAGTGTGGGTCCTTATCTCATCAGCCTCTCCTCCTCCTCCTCTAAAGTCCCAGTTGACTTTAGTACCTCACATTTAATTATATTCAGCAACTCATATTTGGTTCCTCACATTTAATTATTCAGGTGTATGTTCTGTGACTCCTCACAGAGAACATAAGCTCCTTAATGGTAGATTGCATAGACCTACGCATATCTCCTCCCAGCGGTAATAGTGGACAATTATCCAACAGGTACCTATTATAATCACTTCTAAGAGCTGATGGCTTAACAAATGAAATCAGCCAGGTCCTGATGCAGAAAACTGTCATGTCTCTTCCTCAACCTCATCTTCAGCACTGCCTATTTGCTTACACCTCCTTCTGGAAAATTCTGTGCTAACTCCCACCTTGATGGCTGTGTAGACTGATACCCAGTGTCCCATCTTCACAGCCCTGATGTGGCTAACACTGTTCTTTGTGGACTCACCTCAGAAATCCTTCCCTAACAGCTTGTCTCCCCAATTTTTACTCAACTAGTCTCCTTCCTCTATATCTTGAGAATGACTGAGTACATCGATATCCATGATTGACTGCTGTCTTTTCAACATTTTTTTTTGAAGCCAGGCACAGGTGGCTGAGATCTGAGGATCGCTGTTCAAAGCCATCCAGGGAGGAAAATCCATGAGAGTCTTATCTCCAATTAGTCAGAAAAAAAGCCAGAAGTGGCACTGTGGCTCAAGTGATAGAGTGCTAGCCTTGAGCAAAAAAGCTAAAGGGTAGCACCCAGGACTTCAGGGGAAGTCCCAGGTCAACACTAAAATAATTAAATAACTTTTTGAGATAGGATCTTGCTATGGCTGGCCTAGAACTGTGCTTCTCCTGCCTCAGCCTCCCAAGTGTTAGAATAATAGGTGCTTGGCTTTGACCACAGTCCTAATCAACTTTGATCTTTAATGGCTGGCACAATGGAGACTTAACAAATGTCAGCTGAACTGAACTAATAACTAGAATAGTAATCCTTTCCCTCACATAACCCAGATACATGGCAATTTTCTTTCCCCTAGGTTCTTTGAGAAGTGTGGCAATTATTTTAAATCTATTATAAGACTTCATGCTCTGCATGCATTATTCCCATCTGTTTTTTTCAATTGTTTGCCCTTTAACCTACTTTGAATTTTCATTCTTCTTGTCTAGGTCTTTTGAAGCAATTCCCTACTTCCTTTTATTCTTACTAGTTAAGTGTTACTGAACTCTGAACATGCACAGAGAGCAGCTGATAGGAGGATACCCAGATTGGCTTTGGCAAGCTAGGCCAAAGTGGGTAAATCACAAAGACTGGGGAAGACAGTACTTGAAGCGAAAGCCTGGCTTCTGGTAACATAACTTAGCTATGACTGCTGGAAAATGGACTGGCTATACTGGCATACACCACCACTCATAATAAAATGTTTCTTTAAGAGTCTTTGTGTGCATGAAAAAAGAGCAATGAAATCTAGTAAAATTTGTTTTAAGAAGGGGGAGAGGACGGGATGAGGAAGAGTGATGAAGGCCGTGAGTTTGATGGGGCACATTGTACGCATATATGGAAATATCTCATTGAAACTTTTTTGGGTGATCCTAGGACTTGAACTCAAGAGCCTGGGCTCTGTCCTCAGCATCTTTTGTTCAGGGCAGCACTCTACCATTTGAGCTATAGCTCCACTTCAAGCTTTTTGGGGTTAGCTGGAAATAAGAGTCTCATGGACTTTCCTGCCCAGGCTGGCTTTGAATCACGATCCTCAGATTTCAGCCTCCTGAATAGCTAGGATTATAGGTATGAGCCATTAGTGCCTGACACAATGAAACTCTTTTACACAGCTAATAAATGCTAATAAAAATCTTAAAAAAAAGAATTCAAGAGAAGGAAAAAAAGACAAAATATTATAAACAATGTCTACTGCGATGAATCAATGGAAAAAGACAAGTGACAAGGAAGAGACCTCCTTAGTCACACATTTGTTTTGTTCCATCAAGAAACGATTAAAATCTTACCAGTGCTAACAGCTCATGCCTGTAATCCTAGCTATTCAGGAGGCTGAGATCTGAGAGACTCTCAGTTCAAATCCCGCAAAATGGAAGCAGAGGTATGGCTGAAGTTGTAGAGCACCAGTCTTGAGTGAAAAAGCCAAGTAAAAGTACAAGGTCTTGAGGTCAAGCTGCAGTACTGGCATGCGCATATGCGTGCTCCCGCGCACGCACGCACATACACACACACACACAAAACCTTGTACAAACAAGGTTTTGATTTGCTGAGATGCCTAGCAAGAGGAATGAAATAGTATCACTATCTCTATTAATTTACTAGTTCTGACTGAGCTCAGAACATAGACTATAAACTCAGTTTATGAGTGCATGTAATAAGTGGCCCATAAGTGAGAAACCATCAAGAGCAATGAAAACCAAATGGAAAACATGTAAGCACACTTCTCATTATGCAATAAGATATTTCCCAGGATCCCAGGGCAGTTCCTTTCTGCCTCTAAACTTCTATAGCATGTGACAACAGTAGTGCAAATGAACTACTGTGATTATGAAAATATACCAATGATTTAGTGTGTGTACATTGTACTTGGAAAGTGTTGTGTTTTGTGGGATATTTGTGGGTGTTGTTTTTGTGGGATATTTTTCAGGTAGAATCTTGTGCTTTTTTCCCCCAGGGCAGTCTTAGACTGTCATCCTCCCACCAATGGTTCCCTCATAGCTTAGACTTCATGAGTTACCATACCCCACTTGTTTGTTGAGATGGGAGTCTCATTAACTTCTTGTGGGGACTAGCCTTACACCATAAGCCTCTCATTCTCCACCTTCCAAGTAGGTGGGATTACAGATATGAGCCACTACTTCTGGTCTCATTTTTAAAAAAAAAAATCTAGTGTATCAGTACTTGCCAGCCCAACAATCCTAATAATGCAGAAGCCATTTAGATGATATTAGTCCTCTGTAATCTGAGAATAATTGATCTTTCCAGAAAAAAAATCACATTCCTCTAAAATTCTTCATACAATTTCCACAGCCCATTCATGGAACACCAGTTAAACAGTTCAATGTTAATGAAGTAACTCATTATGTCTAACTAAAAATCAACTTACCTAACCCCCATTGAATCATACGCAGCACCTTGGGCTTAGTTTCACAGTATCTATCCTAAGAAGATAAAAAGAAATGGAGTAAGTAGGCTAGGCTGATTAGAAAGTAACAGAATAAATATACCTGTCTTAGCCCAGTGCCATAGCTCACACCTCTAACCTTAGCTACTCAGGAGGCTGAGATCTGAGGATTGAGGTTTGAGCAGAAAAGTTTGTGCAACCCTTATCTCTATTTAACCACCAAAAAAAGCCAGCAGTAGAGCTGTGGCTCAAGTGGTAGAGTGGTAGCCCAGGCCCTGACTGTTCAAACCCCAGGACTGGCACAAATACAAATACTTGCCTTTACTGAATATATTATTAAAGTGTTGACATTTTCTTGGTGCTGGGCCTCAGGCAGGCTATTCATGCACTCTACCATCAAGTTCTAGCATCAGTTATTAACAGCTTTTGAACAGAAACCTATTTTCTTGTTTTCTGGGTTTTTTTTTTCTTTTGCAATGTCCTATTCACTACAAACTACTTGGAAGAATGGCTTACTATTGCCATAGGGAGCAAAGATGCCCAAGATGGTGGTTCTGAGAACTTTTAAACTTCTCATTCTGAGAGGGATTTCATGGTGGCATGTCCACACATGTATACAATGCACTCCATCAATCTCAATCTATCACTTTCTCCCTTCTTAAAATAATTTCAACAGCTTTTGTTGTCCTATTTTCATCCATATGTATATAAAGAACTTCAACGACGTTTATCCTATTCACTCTCTTCATTAGCCTTCTCACCGCCAGACTTCTCACTCTTAAAACGGAAGGAAGGGGCTAGGAAGGTTGGTTCAGCGGTAGAGCGCTTGCCTTGCATGCCTGAGGCCCTGGGTTCGATTCCTCAGCACCACATAAGCAAAAAGAAAAAAAGCCAGAAGTGGCGCTGTGGCTCAAGTGGTAGAGCGCTAGCCTTGAGCTGAAGAGCTGAGGGACAGCGCCCAGGCCCAGAGTTCAGGCCCCACAACCGGATCCCCCCCCCCCCCAAAAAACAAAAAGCTGAAGGAAACTGCGGAACATTGGTAGCTCATGCCTGTCATCTATTACTCAGGAGGCTGAGATCTGAAGATGGCACTTCAGAGCCAGCCTGAGCAGAAAGTCTGAAAGATTCTGATCTCCAATTAATCACCAGAAAACCAGAAGTGATAGACTGCTCGTCTTGGGCAAAAAAAAGCTTAGCAACAGAGCCTAGACCCTGAGTTCAAACCTCATGACTAACCAAAAAAATAAAAATTAAAAAACCGGAAGGAAACAGAAAAATCAATCCTCTTGATAATTACAGAGCGAATTCTGTCCCTAGGAGATTAAATCAGTCTTTGTTACTAACTCTATTTCCTAATTTGTCATTGCATGGGGAGGAAGGGGGAGAACGTCCAGCCCAAGGGCCATATAAGGTCTGTAAAACCTTTTGTTACATTGCAGGACAGACATGTACACTTCTGGCTGGCTCTCATTGGCTACCTATAACCCATCTCCCGATATTGATAGCTTTATATAGCCTGATAATTCTGTTATAAATATTCAAATGGCCCTTAGGAGAAAAGGTTCCCTACCCATTTGGGGGCCTACAATTGGAACATACTCACTTGAAGCAGGAATAACCAACTATAATGTGACATAAGAGCAAATAACTCAGTTTGGAGGACAACCAGACTGTACCCACCTTCAAGAACTCTATAGTGAAAATAAGTGAACTCTGTAGTGAAGGTGAATAAGACACAGGGGTATCACTTGAATATGTCTGTCACTAGGGAACTACTTACCACTTACAAACTGTTTTCCACCCACAAAAGGACAAAAACCAGGCAGAAACCAGTTGTTCATGGCTATAATCCTAGCTACTCAGGAGGCTGAAATCTGAGGATCACAGTCCGAAGACTGCCTGGGCAGGAAAGTCTGTGAGATTCTTCAGTTAACTACAAAAGCCAGAAGTGGAGCTGTGGTTCAAGTAGTAGAGTGCAAGGCTGAGCTCAAACCTGAGTACCATCACAAATAAAGGATTAAGCTAGCAAAAGACATTGATATGTAGGTTTTCTTTCTCTAATGGGTGGAAAAAAATAATATTGGATTTTAATGAAGTGATATTCAGTTCTCCCGCAAGGTCATCATTTATTATTTAAGGCCATTTAAAAGAATGATCCCAGTACTTGGACAATGAAAGGATTAAGCTAGCAAAAGAATTAGGATGTCACTCTAGACATTGACTTGTAGGTTTTCTTCCTTTCTTCTTTCTTTCTTTTCTTTAACTTTCTTTCTTTCTCTTTCGTTCTTTTTCTTTCTTTCTTTCTTTGTCTATCTGTCTACGTGTCTATCTCTATCTGTCTTTCTTTTTGGGTGCCAGTCCTAGGGCTTAAATTCTGTGCCTGGGCACTGTTCCTAAGCTTTTTTGGTCAAGGCTATACACCACTTTGCCCAGCTCTATTTCCAGCATTTTGATGGTTAATTGGAGATAAGAGTCTCATAGGCTTTCCTGCCCAGGCTGGCTTTGAACTGTGATCTTCAGATCTTAGCCTCTTGTAATCTTAGGATTACAAGCATGAGCTACCAGTGCCTGGCAAGTTGGGAACCCTTAATTTGGGTCTTCTATTATGCCATTTTTTGTGCTAGTCCTGGGGCTTAAACTCTGGGTCTGAGTGCTATCCCTAAGCTTTTGTGCTCAAGGCTAGAACTCTACCACTTGAACCACAGATGCACTTCCAGATTTTACAGTTAATGGGAAATGAATCTCATGGACTTTCTTGCCCAGGCTGGCTTTAAACCATGATATTGAGATTTGAGCTAGGAATATAAGCATGAGCCACGGATGCCCAGCTCTATTCTGCTATTTTCCAAAAACATGTAGTCAACTTAAGACTCTTCTCAGTGCAGACTTTCACTACTGACTGTAAAGAGCCATACCTGACACCAACTTGTATATGGTTCAAACTGCTGTCGAAGCTCTGAGATGTTTTCTTCAAGTTGGGTTCTTGGTTTCTCCACATACTTAAAGTGAGTCTCAGGAGTTGAGTAGAGTGAAAGCTGCAGATATTAAAACAAAATCAAAACATCATATCCATTAATGAGATCATATAATAAGCCATCATTTGTAGGTATACATACAAATATTAGAAATACTATAATATTTCTGTTAATCCATAAATTTCAGTGACCATAAGAGTTATATGAAATCTATAACTTGATTTCCGATGATCGTTGTACCTTGCTTTGATAAGGACAAGGAAAAGGGAGCAGGCCTCCAAAATGTCCTATGCCCTCCAAATCCATTGCTAGGAAGCATAACAGCTCCCTTCTATCTGTTTTTGTTGTATTTTTTGGTGGTATTGTGGACTGAATGCAGGGCCTCGAGCACAAAAGGCAAGCACTCTAGCATGAACTACACCCTTAACTCTTTTTAATTCTGCTATGTGGCATTGTACCTCAGACTTCATTCGGAAAAATGATTCTATAACTCTAATGCAAGGGTAGGAAATATCTGCTGCTCACAGCCTCTTGCCTATATTGGTAATTTTGTAATGGCCCTCAAATGTTATTATCAATATTCAAATGGCTCTTGGCAGAAAAATAGGTTCCTTATTCCTACTCTAAAGGGTATATGGAGGTTTAAAAAAACATGTGAAAGTAAATGAATAACTGGTTAGTCAGTGAGAATGAACAGTGTGGACTCATGAAAAGTAGGAGAGACAGTTTGTTCCCCCTCAGAGTAGAAACTTCTCACAGCCACTGCTGGCTGACTTCTGACCCCTGTCATTTGAACCATTGTTCCCAAGGCTTGAGAAGAGAGTAAAGTGCAAAAGATAAGCTAATTAGCTTTATGTAAACATCATTCAAGTAACTCCAAAGGGGAGACTGAAGGTAGCTTTGTCCATAGCCAAATTCAAAGACAAGAAGCAGAAAGGATTCATGTTTCTAGTTTCTTGGAGAATGTGAACGTTTTCTTGCTTTGATAATTGGTCCAGAATCAGTCAGGCTACTTAGAAAAGTGAGTCTTGCTTATCAGCTAATGTGATATGGCAGGTTCCACACTAAAAAGAAAAATCTGTAAAAGGCTGGACACTGGTGGTTCACACCTGTAATCCTGGCTACTCAAGAAGCTGAAATTTGAGGATGATGGTTTGAAGCCAACCCAGGCAGGAAAGTCCCTGAGACTCTATCTCCAATTAACCACAAAAGCAGCTGGAAGTAGAGCTATGACCCAAGTGGTGGAGTGCTAGCCTTGAGCAATTTGAGCAAAAAAGAGCTCAGGGACAGTGTCCAGGCCTTGAGTTCAAGCCCCGGGACCAACACCAAAAAAAAAAAATCTATAAAATACTCCTTAATTATGTTCTCAGTTAAGTATTATTAAAGTTCATCTGCTGACAAGGGTACAGCTTAGTAATTATCTTGAAGTCAGGGCCTGAGTGTTGTTCATGAGTTCTTTTACTCAAGGCTAGTGCTCTACCACTTTGAACCACAGCGCCACTTCTGAGTTTTGAATGGTTAATTGGAGATAAGAGTCTCTGAGGACTGGGCTGACTTCGAATGTGATCCTCAGATCTCAGCCTCCTGAGTAACTAGGATTAACAGGTGTGAGCCACCGGTGCCTGGATCAGCTTAGTAATTTTCTTGGCAACAGTAAGATTAGACTACAGAGGATACTGTGGAGGAGAAGCGAAAAACAGGGTGACATTGTACGTATTCATCTGACTTATGAAATGGTAACCTTTTTGTAATAATAGAGTACTGCTCACACTAGCCAAGTGTGCTGAGCTATACCCGCTACCCTTCTTAAATTTTATTTTGAGACAGGGCTTCACTATGCAGGCTCGATTGTCCTCAAACTTTCAGCCCTCCTATTTGAGCTTCCCAAGTAAGTGGGACTCTGTAGTCGCACTCTCTTATGCCACAACACCTGGACACAGAAAACAAAGTGTAAGAAAACACATTTCTTCCTTTTAAATATACAGTATCTGGATTAAAGGGAGGGCTCAAGAATAGGGTGCTGGGCTAGAATCTGCAAGGTGCTGGATTTAATCTCCAGAACTTCACCAATAAAAACACCAAAATCTTCTGTCCTACTGATTTATAACCTGTAAAAACCCTTACAGTAACTAAAATCAGACATTCAAAAGGCGTTACCTCATCGATCTTCATGGAATTTTTGTGAAGCAAATCCTTTTTTGGTGTTGGTGCTGCTGCATAGACTTTGAAGGTAAGCAGGCTTAGGCTGGCTGGCACCATGGACCTTTGAATTACCTGAAACACAGAAGCCATCATAAGCCTTCTCCCCAAGTTATGAAGTAATAACAGGAGCATATTCATAATTTCATTCACTTCTGCCCTGAAAGGCATATTGCATTTTATGAGAAATAAGTGCATGCCTGAAGTACTGAGGAAGTCAGAACATAAAATGTACGTTCTCACAGACTTAAAATTTCAAGCCAGGGACTGGGAAGGTGGCTCAGTGGTAGAGCGCTTGCCTTGCATGCATGAGGCCTGGGGTTCGATTCCTCAGCACTACATAAAAAGAAAAAAAAAGCCCGAAGTGGTGCTGTGGCTCAAGTGGTAGAGCGCCAACCTTGAGCTGAAAAGCTGAGGGACAGTGCCCAGACCCAGAGTTCAGGCCCACGACCGGACCCCCCAAAAAAAAATTATACCTAGACAACTAGATTATCAATCTATATGTAGTATCTGTCCATTTAATCTTTGGAACAAGTCCAAAACCAACTCATCATCTGGCCCTCAGACCAGCCTTCTTTCTCTACTTGCAGTCTCAGGAACGATGAAAATCTCATCAGAAACTTCAAGGTCACCTGCCATCTAGACGGCAGTTTTCCAGGATATAGTATCTATTTTTATCAACTAGAGTCACTATTGTACACAACAGACTTCTCAACCTTACTCCTCCTGTTTAAGTTTTACATAGAACTAATATGACTTTTATATACTTGGACCAACATCTCTGCAACTCTCTCCTCCACCTCCCAGCTCCTCACTCTACTATCTGCTTCTATGAGTTCAACACTTTTAGTTACCACAAAGAAATGTAAATATGTGAGGTAATGTACAAGTTAATTAGCTTGACTCAGGCATTCCACAATGGATATATGTTTTAAGACGTCCTGTTTATACACAAGAAGTATGTACGACTTTTATTTGACCACTTACAATTAATTAATTAGTAATAATAAAAAGAAACTGAGGTCATCTTTATAGCCCTTCCTCATCTTATTGGTCACTAAGCCTGCTAGTTTTGCCTAGTAAATGACTTCAGTTCTACTTTCTCCTCTTTATACTTTCCTGTGTAATCTTTCCTTGGATTTTCACTTCTTTCCTGAATTGTTTAGCAGCAACTTAACCAGTATTCTGGTCTGCTAAAGATTCAAAACACCATGAAAAAGAATGATCTTTCTAAACTACAATCTTGATTATATTCTATCCTTGCTTAAATTTTGTGTGTGTGTTTGTCCTTGGGCTTAAAGGTTCCTGAGCCTTTTTGCTAAGGCTAGTACTCTACCACTTCAGCCACAGCTCCACTTCCAGGTTTTTGGGGGGTTTTTTTGGTGTTTGATTGGAGATAAGAGTCTCTCAGCCTTTCCTGCCTCAAACTGGCATCAAACTGCCATCCTCAGATCTCAGCCTCCTGAGCAGCTTGGATTACAGGCATAAACTATGGGGTGCCCAGCTGAAATTATTTTGGATTCATTATCTAGGATTTTAGAACCATAGAGCTGTTCTGGGCAGCCATAAGCACCTTCTCTAACCTCATCTCTCTCACTCTGCCCTTGTCCATAAACTCCCTATATTTTCCTCATGCTATTATCTAGTTTCCTGGGTAAACTTATGTGGACTCCTGTCTAAAATAACCTCTCCTTGATCTATCTTTATGTAGAAGTACTTAAGAGTAGGGAGACATTTCTTCTTCTTCTTTTTTTTTTTTTTTTTTTTTTGGTTGGTCGTGGGGCTTGAACTCTGGGCTTGGGCGCTATCCCTGCGCTCTTCAGTTCAAGGCCAGCGCTCTACCACTTGAGCCACAGCGCCACTTCCAAGAGTAGGGAGAATTCAACCTTTTGTTTGCATCTATCAAGTTCTCCCTATCAGATTAGAGTCCATTTGGGGATGAAGTGTCTCACTCTCATCCCTACTGCTATAGCAAAGCCTGGCACAGAAGAGATGCTCCAATAAGACATAGGTATGGGATGGAAAAGGGGACAAATGAAGAGTGGTTGACCTTGTTGTGTCTAGTCAGGCATGATTAAGTAGTATGAAAATCGTATTTTGAGAATTGCTATTTCTGTAATGCAAAAGACGAAGCTATTCTGTAATATAAAACATACAATATTAGATAAAATGTAACAAAAATGTCTCGAAGCACACACAAAAGAAAATTTCTATATTTCAGGAGCAAATTGAATTGAAAATAATTTCTTTTTGTGCCAGTCCTGGGGCTTGAACTTAAGGCCTGAACACTGTCCCTGAGCTTTTGTGCTCAAGGCTAGGGCTCTACCCCTTGAGTCATAGCTCCATTTCTAGCTATTTTGGTAGTTAATTGGAAATAAGGGTCTCACGGGCTTTCCTGACTTGGCTGGCTTTGAACCAGGATCCTGCGATCTCAGCCTCCTGGGTAGCTAGGATTATAGGCATAAACAGCACAGCAGCAACCGCCTTGAAATCTATTTTTCAAGATGTGGCTTTATTGCTGGGTGCCAGTGACTCATGCCTGTAATCCTAGCTACTCAGGAAGCTGAGATCTGAGGATAGCAGTTTGAAGCCAGCCTAGGCAGGAAGTCTATGAGACTCCTATTTAATTAACCACCAAAAAGTGGGGAATGGAGCTGTGGTTCAGGTGGTAGAGTGCTAGCCTTGAGGAAAGCAGCTTAGCGACAGTGTACAAGTCCTGAGTTCAAGTCCTGGAACCGGTGTGCATACGAGCCCCACACACATGTGCACAGACAAGCAGGCACACAGACAGACAGACACAGACACAGACACACACACACAGACACACACACACACACACACACACACACACACACACACACACACACACACAGTGGCTTTATCATTTTAACTGGTTTAAAAATAAGTAATAGCCTCTTAAGTATTAAATGTCCATACTGAAACATCTTAAATCTCAAGGCAATAATACTTAGCCAACTACAGCTGGCACTGGCCACTAAGGGTTTTGTACCCATAACTAAAGAGATCAACATCCCTCCTAGAAAACTGCTCCAACCTTCAGAGGGCTCTGGGTTTTAAATCCACAACTTAGCACACTGCTCTTCCCCAACCACTCTGGCTCTTTTAAAAAAGAAACCAGCCCGTCGGAAACTTGAGTGACCCAGACAGAGTCCCCAGCAGTTCCCACGGAGCCCCATCCCTGAAGCCCAGTGGAGGCATGTGACTCACTGCTCTCTGTCCTTCTGGGGACTTTCCACCAGGCCAAGCTGACACTCGCCAGGACCTTGTTTCTGATACCTCTCTTATCTGCTCAAGCTGGTATCCCCTCCTTGCATTTGAAACCTCTAGTGTCCACAGAGCTTGGGTTCATGGTGTGCCCTGTCTTTACTTAAGCCAACCCATTAAAAAATAGCATTTCAGGAGACAGGGATACAGGTGGACCCATTGCAACAATGATATGTACAAGTTGTTATTGGTGCGGGGGGGGGGGGGGGGGGGGGGGAGGGGGGACCGGGGAGGATTGGGGGGGCGGGGGGGAGGAGGGGAAGGGATGGGAAGGGGAAACAAGGAGGAGGCTACAATGCTTGATAAGAAATGTACTCATTATCTTGCCCGTGTAATTGTAACCCCTCTGTACAATATTTTCACAATAAGAAAAAATAGAATTTCAGGAGAGGCTGTTAAAATGGCAGAAATCACCCTTGGAAAGTGGGAAAGCATAAAAGGAAGGCAAAGAAAAATCTAAAGAAAAAGAAAACTAAGGACAATACTGAAAGTCTGGTACTTGAAGAAAGACAAACCACTACTGAAGAAGTAGTTCAAGGTCAGACCTGGCAATTTAGCAAGATCCTGTCTCAGAAACAAAGCACACAGGTACTGGCAGAATGGCTCAAGTGCTAGAGTACCCACTAGCAAACAAAAGGCCCTGAATTCAAATCTTGTATAAACACACACACACACACACACACACACCACACACACACACACACACACACACACACACACACACACACACACACACACACACACACACACACACACACACACACACACACACACACACACACCACACACACACACACACACACACACACCTAGAGTCTCATGTCCATAATACTAGCTACTCAGAAGCTGAGAGTTGAGGATCTTGGTTCAAAGCCAGCCCAGACAGAAAATTTCATGAGGCTCTTATCTCCAATTAACCTCCAAAAAGCCACAAAGAGCTGTGGCTCAAGTGGTAGTGCACTAGCCTTGAGCCCAAGCCCCAGGACCAGAAAGGAAGAAAGATGGAAAAGAAAGGAAAGAAAGGAAAAGGGGGAGGAGAGGGGAGCAGATGGGAGAAGTGAGTATGGATGGATCAAGTAGTAGAGCATTTGCTTTGCATACATGGAGCTCTGGGCTCAGTCCCATTTATCAAAGGAGGGAGGAAGTAATGGAAGGGGGAGAGGGGAAAGGAGGATGGAGGGGCTTCACTAACTCCTAAGACATGGGGCATAATTACAAAGTCTTGCTTTTGACCAGCTTTCCTTTCATCAGTACTCCTGTGGGGCTGCCTTGAAACACATGAACACGGATCTGCCTCCTCTGAATATATGTCCTGAAAGTGAAACCTCTTCTGGACATTTGTGGAAGACTCGAATCTCTAGGCTGAGTGCTCCCTGTCTCAAGTGACAGTCCTTGAGAATCCTTAGTTGCTAGGGCTCACTCTACCACTCAGGACAAATTTGGCATAGAAAAGTAATTGCACATGCACCTTTCCAAGAATTGATTATATATGCTGTATGTGGGATTATGTGAGTCTGGTTTGCTAGTTCAAAGTCAATTTTTCCTCTGTTAAGAGCTGCATCACCAATGACTGCTAAATTACAGACCAAATCTAAGGGCTGTTTTTTTTTTTTTTTTTTCCCAATTCCGCCCTTCTGGGACTATGCTCTTCAGTTACTAGATGACCCTAATGTGTTGATTTGTCTGCAGTTTTGAGTACAGCTGAAAGCTCATGTGGCAGGGAAAACTAAACTTTGGCTCAAAAAAAGGTGAACTGGAGACCCTCAGCCTTTGCAAACTTCAAGAGCAGT